CGTATTTATGTGAATACACACCAGTGCAGGCATTTTGACACTCCGTGTTTTGACCGTTTAAGGCGCGCCACCAAAGACGTCTATGCTTCTCCGTGTTCCACTCGGACCTCGCACGCAGAAAACATGCAGTCAGAAGCGGATTAAGTTCCGTTTCGCAGCTTTGAATTTTGAATACTGTCTGCCTTCAAGAATGTCCCACTCCTTACTGTCTCATTCATTCACGTTCCTTTGTTAATAATACAATTTTTGTAATAGATCATTTGCTGGTAAAGGGTGAGAGACCTGGCGAGTCAGGTGTGGCTCGCGAGCCATAGGTTCCCGACCCCTGGTATACAAGGTCACACAGATGGATTAACACCCAGCAGCTCTTGCCAGAACGACAATCCTCCAACTATTGGCGACTCACTCTGGCTGGCTTCCATCCATCTATGCCAGTCTCGTTTCAGATTCCAGTGATTCAGTAAAACATTTTTGGATATAACTGGATATAACATGGTGATGGCTTAGGTATTTGTGTAGTCTACCAACTACACAATGCTGAAAAAACATTTTTGACCAGCCTGTTGTGCTAGTTATGGCTGATTTAAGCTGGTGGTTTTTATGCTAGTTTTAGCTGGTTTAAAAGATTCCCCCAGCATGACCAGCTGAAAAGTTCCCTAAATCCCTCTAAAACCAGCCAAAAGATCTGCAAACCAGGTTTGGCTTGGAAATGTTGTGCTCTGTGAAACAAATTTACCACATTAACTTTCAGTTTGTCGCAAATAAATTGTTTTTGCAAGGGATTGCTACAGCAAATCAAATCACACAAACTCCCTGAAGCCAGCAGGATGTGGACCAGTAATTTCTTATCTTTGTTGTTCCCCTAGCAAAATATTTCCTCAGTATTAATCTACATTTGCATTGAAATAAACATGTATTCTCCTGAAGAACCTGAAGTGTTACATAATAGCAAAGTCATGGTATATTAAATGTAGCGTCTGGACCAATCAAACACACAATATATATTTTGTTAGCTATATTTAACAAATACTCTGTAACACCCCTCAGTTAACAAGCCATATGAGGACCTATGGACCTTTCCCCCTAAATGCGTAACACCCTAGGATGTCTGCAACGACACCAGGCCCCCCCTGGTCCCCATGGCAACTAATGCTGATATCACTGGTTTTATGACCCACAGGAATGTGAGTAGGGAAAATCACTACCTTTTTATAGGAAGAGACACAATGCACAGTAGAATGATTAATTATTCATATTTCCCCATGAGCTGATTCGCTACATAAAGCATGGAAGTAATGATCTTACTGGCTAATTAAAAAGCTTTAAAGTGGGAACATGGCTTTCCAGAGTATCCTAGCACACTCACACAAGTTGTTAAATGCTAATTAGGATCTCTACGGCACACTTCTTTATTATCTGCTAGTAGGGCTGGGCGATTTTGCAAAAAATTTAAATTCTCGATTTTTTATGATTTTTAACTAGTCAACTTGAAAATGTAACTACAACATGATTCAAGTTACTTTTTCTTTATTAACC